TACGAGTGTGAACTCAATGACCTATGTTTTATATTAACAACCTGTTGATGAAAGTAAGGGCAATAAATGATGTATAGAAGATTGGAGGAAAAAAGAACAGACCCCCTCCCCCATTTAGTTCTCATTCAAATTCCCTCACTGCCAGAAAAGTTGAGGTGTACACTGAAAGTAGAGCGGGAGGCATGCGTGCAAGGTGCTGAGCTGTGCAGAAATTAATTTCCTGCCTGAACTGTTTTATGCACGCATCATAAAGTTTATTTACCTTTAGAATAAAACTCTTCCACTGGATGACATTAGTGACTATGGAGGCTCTGGCCTGAAAGCTGTCCTAGCTTGTTTCTGACAGTCCTGCTTTTTTGTGCTCTTTGCTCCTGGTAAAAGTGACTGGTCCAAAACCAATGAAGTTAGAATGACCTTCAATACATGTGTCTGCCAGAAATATTACAATAAACACACACACATACACACACACACACAAAAGATGAATGATACTAGGTTAGCTGTTTCCTAAAAAAAATATATAAAACCTTTGTGGGACACAGTTACAAAATGTTTTAAGTGTCATGTTACAAATATTTTATTTTACAATCCACAAGAAGAAAGTCTATCGCCCAATGCCTGCAGCTACACACGCACATTATTTTAATGTGATTTGAGCTCTGACTATAAAGACTGGATTTTATATGATCACATTGCTGCATGTTCACATTTGTGAATAGAAATATCTCTACCTCACCTCCCTCGGCTATATTTACTTTTCAATAATCTTCTGAGAATCATATCCTTTGCACTCCCTGATCCATTTACTATTCATTATGCGCTCTCTTAGCTTCGCTAAAACACTATCCTTACTATAAGATCAGGTTCTAAAAGTTTTGAGCGAAACTTCAGCACAGCCAGATTTCTGGTAGTCCATGTTGGCACATAACCTGGTATCAGTGGATGATCAAATTTCATGGCTGGTGGGAAACTGGGACCAGCAGGGACATTTACAGGACCATAAAGACATGCATCAGCATTCTGAGTAGAGAATTTAAACATGAGAAAAAGGAAGCAATGTATAACTGAACACTTGAGAAAAGTAATTTTGTCTGACTTACAAAATACTTTATACAGTATCTTAATTTTTGTGAACTTGTAACTTTAAGGTTCAATCTGTGCACAGCACCATTTATTTATTACTAATGAGCAACTTTCATCTTTATATGCAAACTGTTGGGAAAGGTTTAAGAAAAATCTTAGGTTTAATTGTGATATTCAAGTATAAGGAAAATATTTCAAATTATGAATCCTCACACCATCATCTCAATTAAGTGTTTTTATAATTTATGAGTTATAGCAGAGCAGTGGTTAGAGCTGTCACCTCTCAGTGTGGTTGCAAGATCGCCTCCCAGCATTTTGGGTGGAGTTTGCATGTTCTCCCTGTGCACATGTGTTTTCTTTGGTTTCCTCCCACAGACCAAAAACATGCATGTTAGGCTGATTGGTAACTCTAAATTATTCCTAGGTGTGAGTGAGAGTGAATGGTTGTTTGTCTTGGTTTTTCTCTATGCGGCCCTGTGAGGGACTGGAGACCTGTCCAAGGTGTCCCCTGTCTTTTGCACAGTGACTGCTGAAGATAGACATCAGTTCCCTGTCATCCAGAATGGAAAAAGAGGGTAAAAAAAATGCATGGATGGATGGAGTTATAGCACTGCAGCCAATGAGTTTAATCTTTGCTTCTATTGCGGTGTCTAGTTTCATATATGTATCTCCACATGGAAGATTTTCCATAAAAGGGCATAAATGTGTTTACTTGCATTATTTATCTGTAATATTCTGAAATAGCTAAACTGCATCGATAATGAAAGTATAAAAATACAAAAATGATCTAATTTGATCAGTATTTCTATTTTAACGTCCTGAGTTTTTTCAAACACTGTATCAAGTTCCTAATGAGCTCCTGTTGCATTAAATAAAACTATAATCACATGCAGATGTTTACTGACTGCTTAGGGCTATTTCTGTGTTTGCATGCTGAAAAATATGCACTGATACATGTATATGTAGCAGTACATTATATAAATTATACATGTACAGTATATAAAAAATACCTCCTGGTGTGTGTGTGGGTGTGTGTGCGTGTGTGAGCTTGAATGAGCTCATCCAGCAGGCTAACTGTAATGGTTCCTGTCACTTCACACTAGCTGTCAGTCTTGTAACACACACAAGTCTGCAGCCTTTAGGTGACCTGACACACATGTTCACAGAACATTTATGCTGCTGGACTAACTGGAATTTTTATGTGTCCATGCTGGGTGCACAGGAAAACTTCAGCTGTCTTTTAATATTCTGTTATTTTTACTTTACATCTCAAAATGAAAAGACACCCCTTTCTCCAATAAGCACATTAAAAAAGCAGTGCTGAAAAGTGTGGGGAGGAAAGAAATGGGATATGTCCTGAACATCATGTGAAGTTTATTTTCTTTTGATAGATCACATCCCACCCAAACATGTACATAAATCAATAAATGAAAATATGGATGATTCTTTAAAATTTCCCTCTATTTTTCTCACCACCTCCCTAATGGCATTTTATTCTCACATGACAGAGGATCCTAGCTTTCAAACAACTTTTACTGGTTCAGTGTTGAATATAAGAAGTGATTATCTTTAATGTTTACTTAATCATATTTACATATAACATATTTCTACATCATTTCCCTCTTCAGAGTCAAAGAACACACTCCAGGCTTAATTACAATGTTCATTTACTACACATCAGCACAGACACTTCACAGTTAGTGCAACAGTGTTCTGTCCAAACATCACAAAAAGCACTGGGAGGAAAAAAAGGAACCAGGCATTCAGCATTAATCACACACTGTGGTGCACACTTGCACAAAGTCACACATAATTAAATTCATATACACACATAGCCCAGAGGTGGAGGCAGCCTTTTTCATGTTCACAAACAGAAACTCAGTTGTACAGTAAACAGACATGCAGATACCCACCCACCCACCACCTGTTTATTTATGCTAAAGCACTGTACAACATGTCTTTGTGCATGAAGACACACACAAACATGCTACCCCCAGGACACATCACACAATTCAGGAAACATAATCAGCATTAGCCAGGAATGCTGATTGTAATTGAGACTCCTGGGCAAGTGTGGGTTTGAGTGCTCTGGCATGTATGTACATAGATTTCGCATGCCATAGATCTGGGAACCACTGACTGCCATTATCATTGTGTCTTTTTTGAAGTTTTACTTTCAAGCACAATTAAGAACAAATTTGTTCACCACAAACACACATTAGCTTGACAGAATCATCACTCCAAATCAAAGTAAGCCTGATCTTTTTATTTTCCATCCCTCCCTCCCTTTACCTGAGAAGATGCACCATCCAGCAACTTCAGGGACTTCCCCGGTGCCTCCTACCAGTGGGATGTGCCTGGAAAACCTCCAAAGGGAGGCATCCAGGAGCCATCCTAATCAGATGTCTCAATCACCTCAACTGGTCCTTTCAATGAGGAGGAGCAGCGGCTCTGTTTCGAACTCCATCAAGATGATGGCGTTCTTCACCCAGGCTGAGCCCAGCCACCTTACAAAGGAAGCCCATTGTGTTCCAGATCTAGTTATTTTAGTCTTGATACAAACCTCATGACCATAGGTGAGGGTCAGAATGTAGACAGACCAGCAAATTGAGAACTTTGACTTTTGACTCAGCTCTCACTTCACCACGACTGACTTAAGCAACACCATCATTAATGAGGATGAGACTACAATCTCTCGATCCATCTCCTGCTCCTTCTTACGTCACTCGTTAACAAGATGCCCAGATACTTGAACTCCTCCAGCTGAGGCAACCCCCCACCCCCACCCCTCAACCCAGAGGGGGCATTCCACCTGTCTCTGTCGAGAACCATGGCTTCAGACTTAGAGGAAATTACTCTTGTTCCAGCTGCTTCACACTTGGCTGTGAACCGCCTATTGCACGCTGATGTTCTTGGCCTGAAAGGGGTACATGATGGATTGATTAAGGAGATCCTCAAAGTGCTCCTTTCACCACTCAACAAAATCTTCAGTTTAGGTTAACAGTTCCCTATCCATACCAAGCACAGCCAGGGATAGGGCCCACTTTCTTTTCCTGAGTTACCAAACCATTTATCAGAACTTCATCGAGGCCGACCAAAAGTCCTTCTCTGTGGCCTCCGAGAATTCCTCCCATGCCCCAGTTTTTACTTTCACAACCACTGAAGCCACAGTCCTTCTAACCACCCTGTACCTTCCAGCTGCTTCAGGGGTTTCCCAGAAGAACCAAGTCATGAAGGCCTCCTTTTTAAGCTTGATGGCCTCCATCACCGCTGGTGTCCATCAGTGGACCCTTTTGTTGCCACCCGACAGGCATCAGTGACCTTCAGGCCACAGTTTCTCGGAGCCACAACTTATGGCCTATTCAGAGTCAATGTCCCCAACTTCCCTTGAGATGTGTGAAAAACTCTCCCGGAGGTGTGAGTTGAAAGCCACACAGGCCAAAGGCTCCACCAGACATTTCCAATTCACACTCACTGTGCATTTGGGTTTACCAGGTCTGTCCAACAGCCTCCCCTGCCACCGGATCCAAATCACCACTATGTGGTGATCAATTGACAGCTCTGCCCCTCTCTTCACCACCTGAGTGTCCAAGATATAGGGTTGCAGGTACAATGACACAATTACAAAATCAATCATTGACCTTTGGCTAGTGGCCTGGTACCAAGTACACTTATGAACAACGTTTTGCTCAAAAATGGTGTTCGCTATGGACAATCCATGCCTAGCACAGAAGTCCAATAGCAGTAGAATGAGGGAATCCCAGATGGCACACCTTCCAAGACACCATCCAGAGACTACAGAAAGGTTGGATAATCTGAACTGATGTTTGGTGCATAAGCACAAACAATATGTCCACCATTTTACAATGAAAAATACCTCACTATACAAATTCTATATATGTCAGAGACTGACTTACCTGCACCAAATGCAAAAAAGTAAGTCTGGTTGGGATTCCTCTGCAAAAGTGTTGACACACGTCGCGCCATTCGCTCATTGCGTTTGTAGATGAGCTCCTGGCGGAAGTAGCTGTCAATCTGCTGGGCTGTCATTCGGTCATGTGCTGGCAGGGATCTGTTAATGAAGGGAGGAAGCTGAAAGGAAGAGAGACACTATGAGGGGATGAGACTTTAAAAGCCTCCATGTTGAAAATCCATCTTAAATACAGTGAAGACTTTTTCAATTATACATCAAATATACAAAACAATATGGGGCAAAAAATATCTGTTAAGACCCTTTTAAATGGGAGTCTTGGGGTATTTCTGGTAAGACCACTTAAAGAAAAATAACCAAAATCGAGCTGTAATTATTATTATTTTTAATAGGAGCACAACAATAAAGCAATGCAATGTATGCATGTGCAGGTAAGAAGATTAATGTAGATTTTTTTATATGCTACACTGAGAATTTACAAAGGTCTGTGCAAATAAATATACCTGTATACCTGTATACCTATATACAGGCTGGATTTGGTCCTTGTGCCACCAGTTTGTGATCACTAATCTAATGAAAACTGCGGAGCCTCAGGAGTCAAGTGATGGATAGAGGTTGCAAGTTGTGTTAGTTAAGAATCAATTAGGAGGGTTTATGCTGACTAATAAATCAGTTTAAATAATTGTATGTGGTTGTATGTAATAATAATTTATTCATTTGTTTAATCCTTCATACTTGTTGAAAAAAATCTGAAAATTATAGATTTAAAATGAAACTTGATATATTTTTTTAAGCAGCTTTCATAATACATTAGGACTTTTTCAACGCCTCATAATCTAATGCTAAGGCAAAAGAAATACCAGAAAGTTTACCTTCTGAAGTACAAATTTTAAAAACTTGTAGTCTAAGACCTCCACACAACACTGTAGATGGTGGGCTTTTGAGTAAATCTGCATTTAGGACTATAAAATGGCAGCTGCATGTGGGCCTTCACCATGTGTGTATATGTACTATGTACTGAATAGTCTAACAGACGGAGGAAGCGTTAACATTTAGAAAAGCTGACTTGGTGTTTGGTGACAGGGGAGATGCAATAGTGTGTTTTCAGCTACAGCTATTAAAGTGGAAGGCTATCAAGTAACTTGAGGCTGAGAAGTAATAATGTGGCAATGTGCAGATGTGTGGAACTAATGTACAAGCCTAAAAGCTTGAGGTGATGATTATGTAATGGCAGAGTATTGGGTATGAAAGTATGCCAACTTAAATCCAGTGTCTTGACAGATTTGGGGTTTTGGAAAGTGGTGCAGATGTTTTTAGACTTAAGCTGTTAGTAGTTGAGCTTAACTGCCTAAAACACTTTAAGTTATGGTTTTCTCTATTGTCCAAAAATACCATGATATTAAATTTATTGCAAACTGGTTTATCATTCCCTTAAGATTTCCTGAAAAAATATTTAAGGGGATTAATTTTTACACAGAATTGTACTGGTATATTTTACAGTACTTATGTATTAACAAACTTCTGTATACCATGAACATCTGAATGGAATTTCATAAGAGTCTCAGAAAGTAACCATTGGATGTACCTCTATAACTGATCAACGTTTGTAGTCAGCACAATTTAAGATGACCTTAGCAAACACAACATTGTCTATAACTTAATAAATTTGACACATATTGAGCTTGAAATTTGATGTGGTAGTAGCTGAGAGCCATCCAAAACTTATACGCTGAGACTTAACTGATTGCAATATCTTAAACCCTTGGCACGCAATATGGCAGACAATGTGAACTTCTTTAAAAAATGTTAATGAGATCAGCATTTGTTTAACAATATGGCTAGCTCTAAGAAAGGTGAATCTTTGTTTTATTGTTAATGTCTTTCTTTAATTTTATTTTTCATCTAGTAGTTCTCATAACCAAACTGTAACAATAAATCATGTTATATTGGGTTTTGTGTATATTTATGACCAGTTGTTGGAATACAAATGATGTGAACACCTTTTTAGATAATTTACTGGCAATATGATACATTGAGTGTATGAAGTATATATTGATAGTGTAGTCCAGTTTGTTTTATAGTACAAACTAAGTATTGAACTAAATTCATAGTAATATCATTTCAGTTTTTAAAAAAAAATCTATGTGATAAAAGTTGAATAAATATGAAAGATAAAAACTCTTATCATTTAAAAATGTATCTTTTAAAAAAACATTTTATTTGGTCAAGAAAATCTAGTTTAAGCAGACTGAAACAGGCAGTTGTCATTTTTACTACATTCCTTGAATGTCATTCGTAAGTTTGTTTGAGGAGTGCTGCACATGGGTAAATGCCACATGGCAGGTTACAACCTACTCTTTGAGTTGTGCTAAGTGTCAATCTTGTTCAGTTTTGTTTTATATTGGATTAAGCATTTTATTTTTGCTCAATCAGATAGGAGTGGGCGGGATCATTGGTACGCTGCATGAAATGTGTAGTATTGTTCGATACCAGGATTTCTGGTCCGATACTGATACTAGGTAATATTCTGGCTAGTATCGGCGATATTGATTCTACTGTATGTGATGAAAGCTCTATGTGTCTCACCGCAGATATCTGAATGAGCTGTTATCAAGACAGTACAGTGCAGTGTTATCATAGCATTTAGGAGGTTTAATATCCTACACTTTTTTGGCAACAGCTTTACTAATTGAGAAAAATGTCAACTGCAGCTGATTGTTATTGGAGTACATACAGCTTTGTAATTGGGAAAAGAAGAGATATGATATCTAATGTTGTGTTTTTTGGAAAACCTAAATAAAAGCCTCAGAAAATTTGTAATGAGCTGGACAGGTGGTTCATTTTATGTTCTGTATGGTTTTATTGGTGAAACGCTAAAAAAAACAGCTGTTTTGAATTACTAGTTTTTCTGCAGAAAGCTGATGCAAAATGGAAAATTTTAACTCAAATTCTACTTTAAGGAAATAGACAAGAGATTGCTTTTTGTCCTTTATTTCCAAGTAGATCATTAAGAGGACCAAAAGTAACAAACCTGCGAGGTGTCATGGTTAAAGATGATAGAGCTGAGGTCGCCACAGTTGTAGTGTATGATGAGATCTTCAGTGGTGTAGGAGCCTTGCAGGCTGCCTGCTCGGACGCCCTCATGCTGCAGCAGTGTCTGGTTCAAAGCAAATAGTACCTGCAGGGGAAGACACAGAAATGGGAAGGATGCTAAGACTTTCTGCATGCACAAATTGAGTATTCACAGCACAGTTAATGCAAACTTAACATGCAAAGAAAAACAAGCTGTTTGTTTTAGTTTTATACACGTTCCATACTCTCTGACCATGCCAGACCACAGAAGACATGACAAAGTTCCTATGACTTTTCCATCAAGGAGGAAGAGAATGGAGAAATAAAAAGACAGATGAAGGAAGAGAAAAACTCTCTTTTTGACAAGTACAAGGGTGCTGTAAATTTATAACACCCATTAAAACCAAAAGTAAACCCTCTTTAGAAAAAATGTATAGTGTAGCCACTTGCCAGCGTCACACCCCCCCCCCCCCCCCCCAAAAAAAAAAATCTCCACAGCTGTATTAGACACCAGGGTTTAACCTCCACTCTCACACAACCGCTGCAATCCCACACCACCTCTGGCTGGCTTGGCAACCAAGACTGAGCTGTCAGTCATTGTTGAGCAAGAACCAGTAGACTTTTTTTTTTTTACTTTATTTATTGTGTTGCAGCAGATTCACACAGTTCTACATGGTACTTTATATGACAGTCTCAGCTAAGCATTATATCTTCAAACTAAACTAGACTGATTTGTGTCTATGTGTCTAATTACCAAAAGCTCCACTGAGGAAAATACTGCTGGAAGAGCATCAGATGATTTGTAGAGCAGCTGAAGGCCAATGCAGCTGCATAACCAATAGAAGCCAATGTGAAATTGTGGGTTGTAATTCATGCAATCATGTTTTCTCAATCAGAAATGCCTATGCTATGTGTATTAAATGTTTAAACTCCAGGTAACCTTTCCGGTGGGATAATCATAACCAAGCTCTAAGCCCAAACTTGTGACTTTTCCACACTTTTCATCTAAGCTCAATGTTAACCCATGTTGTGGACGTCTGTTTGTTTTGGTCTACATGTTTTTAATAAAGAAAGATAACTGACTAAATATATGTGTGTTTTACTTTCTGATGACCCACAGCCCCTTTCTGATTTTTTACTTTTCTTATATTTGCTCTTTCTCCTCCTGCACTTGAAAATTTACTCCATCCTCCTCTTTCTGTCAGAGCCAAATCTCTGCACTTTTCTCCTTTTGTATCAGAGCTGTCTGAACTTATTCATTCTGTCCTGACATGTTTCCTCCAGTGTTTTTCTTTTTACAGGTATGCCTCTTTTGTTGTTTTTACCCCACCAGAGGCAAATAATCACAATAAGCCACAAACCTGTGACTATTTTAGTTCATGAAAAAATCCAACTTCTTTGCTATTCTACATTCATATTTAATTACACTTGATATCAGCTTGTTTTCATCTAATGCAAGATTCATGATTGATTTAAAGTAAATATATTATTGAAGTTTGATGAAAGACCAGAGAGGATAAATCTTCCTATAGTGGCTAACTTATTTAATTTGCAAAACTGAGACTTGGGTCTTTTGGTAATGGGAAAAAAAAACTGTGAATTAAATTGTGCAAAATCTCCTGGTCAGGATCTACCAATGCACAACCACACATTTGCAGGGATTATTGTAACCCTGAAAGCTTCAACAGTTTCTTTTGCATGGCAAATGGCTCCAGACAACACACATGTGGATGAATACATGGTTGGTTGTGTCGCTAAGGGAGTTGTTATTTCAATATTGTCTGTCTCCTGGGGAGAGAACATCTATGTGGCTGTAACCATGGTGCTTCAGTTTGTCCTGGCATTGAATGAGAAAGCATGTCAGTCAGTGAAGCGAAGGCAAAGAAAGAAAGAAAAAAAAGGCGAGAGAGGAAAAATTGCAAACATTGCTCTGCATTTAAGTAGATGCACACATTTGTGTGTGTGTGCGTGTCTGTGTGTGTATCTCATTGGTTCCCACGAGGTAGTAAGAACATGTGTGTGGAGATGTGTATGTGTTACCTTGTAAGGTTCATTTTTCCAACACATACAACATTGTGAGGACCAACTAACTATTCCTTATGGAGCCTGGGACCCATAAGAATTCAATTCAGTTAATTCATAATGCAAAGTCAAAAGAGAAGTTGTTTCAGGGCACTGTACAAAAACATTCACAAATATAAAAATAACAATTAGTAAAAGTTATCTATCTAAGGAAGCCAGCAGATTGCATTGTGAATCTTCACTTCATTGCAGTCTCCCATCCTGAGCAAGCAAAATCCAGTATTCACTGGTTAACTGGTAATCATTGACTTCACGCAGACTCTCTCACTGGTACATTTTCATCTTTAAAGCACTTCTTGGTCTGTTGCCTTCATATATCTCCTCCGTGAGTGCGGCTACAGCGTGCGCTCTCAGAACACAATTACTTGCAGAGTACCGAATTAGACATCTCCCAGCACCAGACTCACCTCACCACCGGATGAAGAGCATCTCAGCGTGACCTCAGCAGAAGTAAGGAGTACCTTCAGGAGGATTAATCCGCACAAAGCAACTGGCCCAGACAACATCCCCGGAAAAGTGTTGAAGGAATGTGCTGATCAGCTCTGTGAGGTGCTGGCAGACATCTTTAACACCTCACTTACCCTGGAGACAGTTCCCACCTGCCTGAAGACTGCCACCATCATCCCAGTCCCAAAAAGCTCTACAGTGACTGGTCTGAATGACTATCGGCCAGTGGCCCTCACCCCGATAGTCGCTAAATGCTTCGAAAAACTGGTCATGACTCACATCAAAACAACCATCAACATCAACGAGGACCCTCATCAGTACGCATACCGTGAGAACCGATCAACAGAGGATGCAATCTCCTCTGTGGTCCACACTGCACTCAACCACCTGGAGCAGAAAAACTCTTACGTCCGTATGCTCTTTGTGGACTTCACATCCGCCTTCAACACCATGATCCCCCAAACCCTGATGGACAAACTATCCACACTAGGACTAAGCCCCTCCATCTGCAACTGGGTACTAGACTTTTTAACAAACAGACCACAGTTAGTGAGGATCCACAACCTCTCCTCCTCCACCATAACCCTCAGCACTGGCTCTCCTCAGGGATGTGTATTGAGCCCCCTCCTGTTTACTCTGCTCACATATGATTGTGCAGCTACCCATCCAGGCTGTCACATTGTAAAGTTTGCAGATGATACAGCGGTGGTGGGATGCATCACAAACAATGATGAGTCCAGCTACAGGCAGGAGGTGGAACACCTGGAGAGCTGGTGCAGAGAGAATAACCTTCACATCAATGTGAAGAAGACAAAGGAGATGATTGTGGACTTCAGAAGGAACAAAAACACCTACACCCCCCTGAACATAAGAGGATCTGCGGTGGAAGTGGTCTCCAGCTACAAGTACTTGGGTGTACACATGAATGACAACCTCAGCTGGAGCAACAACACCACCAGCCTGATCAAGAAAGCTCATCAGAGACTCTACTTCCTCAGACGGCTGAGGCGAGCTGGTCTGGGAAGCTCAGTCCTCACCTCCTTCTACAGGTGTGCAGTGGAGAGCATCCTGTGCTCGAGCATCAATGTGTGGCATGGAGGCTGCACAGCTGCAGAAAGAAAAGCTTTGCAGAGAGTGGTGAAGGCTGCACAGAAATCTGTTGGAATCAGCCTCCCCACCATCACAGACATCTACACCTCCAGATGCAGGAAGAGGGCCACCTGCATCATGAAGGACCCCACCCACCCAGCACACACACTTTTTGCCCCACTCCCCTCAGGAAGGAGGTTAAGGAGCATTAAGTGTAGAACCACTAGACTGAGGAACAGCTTCTACCCTGAGGCTGTTAGACTCATGAATCTCTAACTAGAATAATCACTGTGAAAAACCATATCATGTTGCTGCTGATCTGTTTCATGTTGCTGCTGATCTGTTTCAATGTTGATGTGTTCATGCGTGCACATCTGCTCACAGACTCATGTTCATGTTTGTGGTGATGTTCAATGTTTTATGTTATGAGTGCTTAGTGTATATTTAGTTGATGTTTTTCTTAGTTCATATCTTAGATGTTATTACTGTTTTTCTTATACATTTTATTGTTGGATGTAACTGGGACCCTGTGTACATAATTTCGCTCCACCACATGTACCACATGAGGTGCGAATGACAATAAAGAAACTCTGACTCTGACTCTGACTCTGACTCTCTTACTCTGCTCCTGTAACCTGGAACATCTTGCAAAAAGATCTGAAGTTGTCAATTTTGACCACTCTAAGAGATTTTAAACATCTGCCAAGATCATGGTAAAAACCAACACAGACATGCTCTTGTTTTTAGTATTTTACATCACTTTATAATGTATCTGTTTTTTGTTTTGTTTTTATATAATTTCTTCTCTTTACTTTTTCATTTTACTGGTAAGCTTTTTATATGATTGTCTATTGTTTTCTGTACCTCATCTGTGTACTTTTTTTAAAATAGGTAAATGAGTCATCTTGGCTCAGTGAGACTAGCCTGTATAAATAAAGGTTGAATGAATGAAAAAAATGGGCAACAGTGGAAACAGGTCCAGGTGTACCTTTTATTGGAGGAAAGACAAAAAAAAAAAACACGTTAAGAAGAGAAATAATTACAAATACAAACAAGTAGATTAGACCAAGTAAAGACAGCAGCAGAGTGAGGAAATGTGGTCAATTTGTCCTCCAGCAGTCTAAACCTATAGGAGCAAAACTAAGGGATAACTCAGGAAACCCAAGCCAACTCTAACTAAAGGATTTTTCATAAAGGAAAGACTTAAGCCTAATCTTAAAAGTAGACAATGTGTCAGCCTCATGGACAGAAACTGGAAGTTGGTTCCACATCAGAGGAGCCTGATAACTGAAAGCTTTGCCTCCAATTCAACTTTTGGAAACTCTAGGAAACACAAGTAAACCTGCAGTATGAGAGTGAAGAGCTCTGTTAGGAAAATATGGAACAATAGCATATGTAATATAAGATGGAGCTAGGTTGCTGAGAGCTTTGTGTTTTGATTTTGTTTGCCTTTGTTTGATTTTGAATTCAGTTCTGAATTTGACAGGG